GAACCAGTCCATATGTGGGATCCGAACCCTCGGCGGGAGCACCGCCACACTCCCAAGCGGCGCACTGTAGCAGTGCGCCACCGGGCCAGCCCCAGTAAACATTATTTTCTAATACCTGCAAAGTTCCTGCCTTTGAACTGCTTGGAATCTTGGGCAGGAAAAACACATTAAACAATAAATTAATGCACAGTTGTAATTAGCATAAGTAAGAAAAAAGAGCATGAAGTTAAGGTTTGTTAGGAAACTTGAATTCTACTCTTAGCTTTGTTAGTAATTTGATTTGTGTGACTATAAGCAAACCACTTACTTGTTGGTGGGTTAGTTCTTTCACATACAAAATAAGGGAGATGGACCAGATGAACTCTAATCCTTTATCATTGTAATACTCCGAATTTATTTTTCTGTGTAACACAAGTTCAGAGGATGTTAGGTATTGTTTTGAGCAGGGATAGCTAGGAATGACCTTACATAGGAAATAATTTTTACTGAACCTTGAAAGATTTGGTTGGGTAGATAAAAGGATGAAGAAAAATTAGGAATGGAGAAATATAAACAAAAAAATGATTTAGGTCAACAAAGTCTGGTATATTTGGGGAGCATGCAGAATAGGATTTGTGTGGTTCATTCATGTGAGATAAGATTGATTCAGTAGTTTGGAGTTAAATGGCCCTAAATGCCAGAGTTTAGTCCTTAGACTGTAGGTTATGGGCAGCTGCTGAGGAAGGTGTAGCCAGGGAGAGTGATATCATATGTTATTTTAGTCAACTTTGTGCATGATAATTAAAGTCTATTTAACCAATTCTAACTTCTTTCTGTAAACTATAGTAACAACAACTACAAAAAACACACAGAAACTCTTTAGGAACCTAGTTAGAGGTTTTTCTAACTTCCTCTGAATGACAGTGAAGACATAGAGACCAAGTTAGGGAAACCCTGAGATGAAGTGACAAAGTCTTCAGTTAAGCTGGCAGAGGCATCAGTATTATATTAAGGGTTATGCTTATATTTACTAAGATCTAATCACTTATGTGACATATTACTTAGAATTGTTGCTGTCATATTTGTCATCTTGAGTAATTTCTTTAGGGGCATCTATGATTCATGTGCTTAATACTAAATTTGGGTATTTTTAGGCAAATTGCTAAAATTTTAAGCCATGTTAATTGGGATTTTCTTGAGACACAGCTAATTCAACTTTATAGTGTGTAGTCACCAAAAGTATTATTTTTGTTGTTGTTTTTTTTTTTTTTTGGTGGCTGGCTGGTACAGGGATCAAACATTGGACCTTGGTGTTATCAGCACCACACTCTAACTAACCTGTCCAGCCAGTTCCCACCAAAAATGTTCTGAAACATGGCTCCTCTTTAGTTCTATTGGATTGAATTTGTGCAGAAAGTAAAAAAGTTACTGCACAGTATATTAAAATTGAGTAGTAGAAAAGAATTTTTAGGAATAACCTAAGTATTAGAAAATGCTGTGTTCTGAAAATTGCTGTATAAAATAATTTGCTTAGAATTTAGTGTTGCTTCTTATATAAATGACATTTAGTGTCTCTCTGGCTAATTCATAGAAGTCTACTGATCTTTCTGATATTGTAACAAAAAGCAATATGATAAATACTGTTACACTATGTTAAAAATTGAGTAGGTTTTTATACCCTAGATTGGAAATCTTGCTATTGATTACTTTTTCCTATGTTAAAATGTGTTGTACAGAATATAGGATGAAATAAATGTGGGTCTTCTGCCACCCCAAAAAAACATCAGAAAGAATTGGGGTATGTGGGTGAAGGATAGAGAAGGGGGTACACTTTAAAACAACAATTTTCAAAGGGTAGTCTACAGTACCCTTACGGTCCGTGATGTCAAAACTTTTTTCATAATAGTCCTAAAATGATTTGCCTTTCACACTGTGTTGATATATGTTTTGAGTGTAAAAGCAGCAGTAGGTCACACTGCTGGTAGTTTAACACAAATCAAGGCCATGGTAGTGGCCATGTACTTGCAGTTTTTAAGACAAGCCAGTTTTACTTAAGAATGTACTTACTGGAACAATAAAATTATTAATCTTATTATATCTCTACTTTTGAGTTCACTTTTTAAGTATTCTATATAGCAAAGTAGTAAGTACTCATAAGGTACTTCTGCCTACTAAAGTATGAATGGTTGTCTTGCAGGTAACCACTTTTGAAAGTGAAATAAACTAGCCCCTTTTTTCATGGAACACCATCTTTATTTGAAAGAACAACTGGCTTAGAATTTCTGGTTGTTCAGACTTAGGTATTTGGCAGACATTTCCTAAAAAATGAATAAAGCAATAGAATTTGTTGCTATTGATAAAATTTAAGGTTTCAGTCAAAAATTAGAATTTTAGAAAACTTGTATTTACTATCTCAAATTTGACAGTTTCCCAATGCTTGACTTTTTTTCCTTTTTAAAAAATTTTTCATTCTTTTAACATTTTTTCCAAGCAGTCAAGTGGGATTTAAAAGACTTTTCTGATGGAGATCAGTGGTAATATTAAAGAATGCAATTTTATTTTTATTGCATAATGAAATGTGTCAACATTTGGAATATCTTAAAAACCCAGTGAGCCAATATTTTATTAAAAAATTCATGACAGAAAATTTATGCGTGGGTAAAATATCTATTCAAAGTTCAAGAGAAATCACTGGGTTTAATGTAACAGTACAAAAAGTTTATTGCTATGGTTTCAGATTCCACAACTAACCTTTAGAAAGATTGTTTGGTATAATCAAAGAAGACTATCCACAATTATCTAAAAGCTGTTAAAATACTCCTCCCTTTTTCATCTCCATAGCTGTGTAAGACCAGATTTTTTTCATAAACTTCAGCCAAAACAACATAGCACAACAGATTGAATGTAGAAGCAGATATAATAATCCAGCTGTCTTCTATTAAGCCAAATATTAAAAGGATTTGCAGCAGTGTAAAATAATGCCAGTCTTCTCACTAAATAAAACGCATAAACAAAAGACTTATAAACAAAAGCTCTTTGAGATCCTCAAATAATTTCTTTTTTGGACCCAGCAGTCTTTCTCAAACACAGATATAGTTCTTTTTTACTTCCTTTTCTTGGCCCTTCCCTAGCTAGTTACCCCTAGGAATGCATATTTTTCCTCCTTTATATCTTCTCTCATTCTTCTTCCATTGGCTGAAAAATAATCACCATTTTTTTTTTTCCTTTTTTTCCTCCTTTATATCTTCTCTCATTCTTCTTCCATTGGCTGAAAAATAATCACCATTTTTTTTTTCCTTTTTTTCTTTTTTTTTTGTCTTTTTTCGTGTCCGGCAACGGATCGCAACCCTCAGTGTCGCGCCTTACCAGACCGGGACCGGCAATGGGATCGCAACCCTTGGTGTTGCGCCCACACCTCGCTCAGCCAGTGAGCGGGAACCGGTCTGTATGTGGGATCCGAACCCTCGGCGGGAGCGCCGCCGCACTCCCAAGTGGCGCACTATAGCAGTGCGCCACCGGGCCGGCCCAATAATCACCATTTTGACAGATAAAATATACAGTAGTGTTAGTGACATACTCTATCAAGGAAAACAAAAGTGTAAGATTTGGAATGGAATTAGGTATAATACTCTCTTCATTCTTTAATTTTTCTTAAATAACAAGAGTACTTCAAAAAGTTCATGGAAGGATTCGTATTATCTTTCAATGCTATTTTTCCACGAGCTTTTTTGAAGTGCCCTTTATATACCTGCTTTTCTTCAGGTACTAGCATTCAAACTGAATAAAATTAAAATTAAAAATTTATTTTTAACTTTCTCTAAATTAATTTGGCCTTCTTTTCATTGTACATATACAAAGTTTTGTTCACTTAAATACATTAAATGACCTTATAATCAAATCAAGATCCAGTTACCACTAAAAACCTTGTTTAATGAGGAAATGTATTGTTTCCTAATATACACTTTTGTATCAGAACTCATGTAAATTGAGTTTCTTTTACTGCTCATTTTAAATGGTGAAATCCACTTTTTTAGAGGCATAAAAAAGGTTGAAGTTTCCACTGAGTTAGCTGTGTAGATAAGAGAGGCTACCTGACTGCCTGCACAGGCATTCCAGGTTGACAGAACCTTGGGGTTGTGGCCGTACTCTGGTTCTCAGCCATGCTCTGGATTTAATTTTGTCAGTGTATCCAGATTGATCAAGTTCCATCTGACTGTCTGCAAAACCCAAAAGAGACTGACGTGTGTAAATTAGAATCATGTTTTCAGAGACCAAATATTGCATCAGTGGCACATTCTTTTAGGAATCCTTTAGGAAAGTTTATGTGAAGGCTAAGTTATAATCATGAAGCTGGTGTGCATGGAAATCAGATTGGGAGGGTGTTGGTTGATAGGTTTAATAGCCAAGCATCCATCTCTGCTCTAGAGATAGACCTACCAGAGATGTCCTATGATTGGGTGATCAGGACATATTCTTCCTCTTTGAAATTCTTTTTTTTTTTAGGATTCCATGTTGTCTTTCTGTCAGAACGGTCTCTTAGAATTAATTGATTAGGTGAATAGCTTTTAATATGTTAGTATAATCATGCTTTCCACTTCGCTTTTTTTTTTTTTTTCTTTTTTTTTAAAGATGACCAGTAAGGGGATCTTAACCCTTGACTTGGTGTTGTCAGCACCACGCTCACCCAGTGAGCAAACTGGCCATCCCTATATGGGATCCGAACCCGTGGCCTTGGTATTATCAGCACCGCACTCTCCCGAATGAGCCACAGGCTGGCCCCTCCACTTGGCTTTTCAAACATTCCCTCAGCTAAACATTTACTAACTTTGTTGGGGGAGATTGCCTTTTTGATAAACAGTTACATCTTTACACATCGATTTTTCCAAATGTCACTCTAAATGAATAACAACATTTTCTAATTTGGAGTTGTGGCAGGGGGGTAATTATTACTGTTTTGTGCTTGTCCATACTGTTTTTTACCTTGTTATTAATTGTGTGGTTTTTTGGCGTATCTGTTTCAGGCCATTTCATAATTCTGAATCATGTCTGATAACGGAGAATTGGAAGACAAGCCTCCAGCACCTCCTGTGAGAATGAGCAGTACCATTTTTAGCACTGGAGGCAAAGACCCTTTGTCAGCTAATCACAGTTTGAAACCTTTGCCCTCTGTTCCAGAAGAAAAAAAGCCCAGAAATAAAATCATCTCCATATTCTCAGGCACAGAGAAAGGTAAACAGCTCTTGTGGTTTCAAGGGGCTCAATGTTGGTATATTTCGGTATGTTACCCATGTTAGAATTTTTTATGATGAAAACAGTGAACAGATCTAAGAAAACAATTAATACTAATATATAAGCACTGTTAAAAAGTTTCTTTTAGGGCCGAGCCCGTGGCGCACTCGGGAGAGTGCGGCGCTGGGAGTGCAGCAGCGCTCCCGCCGCAGGTTCGGATCCTATATAGGGATGACCGGGTTGCTCACAGCGCTCACTGGCTGAGCGCAGTGCGGCCGGTCTCAAAAAAAAAAAGGACAAAAAATAAAATTTCTTTTAAACTGTGATAAAAAGAGTGAAACTGTACAGTTGTTATGTGTAATGGCCAATGAATTTTTACATTAATCTCTTTCATTTTTTGAGACCTTGGGCAATGAACCAAAAATTATGCATGGGGAGAGAGCAAAGAAGTGTTTGCTAGAGAGTGCTAAATCCTCATCTTTCATAATAGTAAGTTAGTAAATTTAAAGTGGGAGAAACAAAAAATGGCAGTATAAACACAGTTTTTAAAATTGTGGAGATTAGTACCAGAAGAAATTGCTGAAAGAGTTGAAATTGCCAGTGGAGAACCAGAATCCCAGGTGGGGTAGGGGAGTGCTCAAGATAGGATAAAATATACTTGGGGATAGCCTTGGAGAGGGGAAAAGAAGGCCATAAAATGAAACAAAAGAAAAGAAAAAGTGTAAACAGTCCAGTACTTGACTTTGGATAATGGTAGGGTTTTTGAGAAAATTGAATACATATTCACATAAATGCAGAAGAACATACTCATCTCTCTGATCATTTTAAGAATCTTCCAGTGTTACTCTCCTTTACCAAACCCACTCTTTCTCTTTCTCCCAGAATTACTTTTCACCTGTGGCTAACTCAAGGTCCCCTCTAACAAAGAGAGGGTGAGGATACTGGTCTCCTAGAGATGGCTCTTGTCTGGCTACTGCTAATGTCTGCAATCCTCACAGCACCAATTGTCTAGTTCTTACTCCCGTTTGTGACGCCAATTGTAAAGCTAGGTGACCACGCCAGTTGTAAGGCTCTTTTACCTGCCCCTAATCCTTCTGACTGGGCCAATTGTTGAGCTAGTGCTGCGTCTGGAGCTCCCAGACCCCTCAAGACTGGGTCACCAGCCCTTCAAACGTCGGGCTGGGTCACCAGATCCCTTACACGCAGGTCTAATGAGCTAGGTAACTGGCCGAAAAGGTCCTTGGAGCCATGGGTTTGGAAAAGCATGGCCTTACGATGGCGGCCGCCTCCAGTAGTAAACACCAGATGCACTTGCTCCATCACCCCCTACCCCACCCCCCACACACAATGCTTACTGAACCACCCCTAGCTGGCCCTGAGGCGAGGGGAGTCTGATTAAATTATTGTATTTTCCCAACAGCTCTAATTGCAATTAGGTTTATTTAGTTCCTGATATCTATAATTGCTATTAATTTTTTTTGGTGATTTCTGTAGTCTTTGTTTTCTTGTGTTTATAACCAAGGTCTGAGAACTTTTTAGTGCTAATTTTAAAATTTTAGAAGCTTTTTTTTAAAAAAACTTTGTCCAATTCCTTTTTTTCTTTCTCTTATAAAACTTCTATTATCATCCTGATTTGAGCATCACATATTGCACACAGGTATTGATATTCAACGTGGTACCCCACAGATACATACAAGCAATTGTTTCAATTAAAAAAGATAAAAATAAACTTCTGTTATAGAAAATGTCAAACATATACATACAAAGTAAATAGAAGTGTTACTAACCCTATCATTCAGCTTCAACAACTATCATTATTTTGCCTCCACTTGACTCTTTATTTTTTAGATAAAATTTACAAATATCAAAATATCCGACCTCTAGCAACCACAGTTCTGTTGTCTGCTTCTGAAAGTTCAAGAGTGTGTGTGTGTGTGTCCCCGGTAAGAGGATCACAACCCTCGGCACGGTCTGCACCCACACTCAGCCAGTTAGCGCGCCGGCCATCCCTGTATAGGATCTGAACCCGAAAGTTCAAGAGTGTGTGTGTGTGTGTCCCCGGTAAGAGGATCACAACCCTCGGCACGGTCCGCACCCACACTCAGCCAGTTAGCGCGCCGGCCATCCCTGTATAGGATCTGAACCTGTGGCCTCGGTGCTCCCAGCACTGCACTCTCCCTAGTGAGCCACGGGGCCGGCCCAAAAGTTCAACTTACTTTGATTGTTGTTTCTCTTTTTTCTTTCTTTCATTTATTTTTTAGCTCCCACTTATGAGTGAAGGCATGTGATATTTCTCTTTCTGTGCCTGGTTTGTTTCACTTAATAAAAATTTCCACACTCATCCATGCTGCTGCAAATGGCAGAATTTCATTCTTTTTTATGGCTGAGTGGTATATCATTGTGCATATACACCACATTTTCATTATCCAGTCATCCGTTAATGGACATTTAGGTTTGGTTACATAGCTTGGCTACTGTAAATGAACATGGGTGTGCAGGTATCCCTTTAACTTGATGGTTTTCATTCCTTTGGGTATATTCCAAGTAGTGAGATTGCTGGATCATATGTTAATTTTATCTGTAGTTGTTTGAGAAATGACCATTCTGTTTTTCATAGTGACTGTACTAATTTACAGTCTCACCAAGAGTGTATAAGAGTTCCCCTTTCTTAAGCTTCCTCACCAGCATTTGTTACTCTCTGTGTTTTTTTTTTTTTCCTTTTTGTCTTTTTTCGTGTCCGGCAACGGATCGCAACCCTCAGTGTCGCGCCCGTACCGGACCGGGACCGGCAACGGGATCGCAACCCTTGGTGCTGCGCCCACACCTCGCTCAGCCAGTGAGCGGGAACCGGTCTGCATGTGGGATCCGAACCCTCAGCGGGAGCGCCGCCGCGCTTCCCAAGCGGCGCACTGTAGCAGTGCGCCACCGGGCCGGCCCCTCTGTGTTTTTGATAATAGCCAGTTCAACTGGGGTGAAATAATATCACAGTGTGGTTTCGATTTGCATTTTCTTGATCATTAGTGATGTTGAGCATTTTTTCATACACTTGTTGGCCATTTGTATGTCTTCTTTTGAGAAATGTCTATTCAGCACCTTGGCCCATTTTTTAATTGGATTATTTGTTTTTTTACTGTGAAGTTGTTCAAGTTCCTTGTATATTCTGGATATTAATCCCTTGTCGATGTATAGTTTGCAGATATTTTCTTCCATTCTGTCGGCTTTTTCACTCTGTTGATTGTTTCATTTGCTGTGCAGAAGTTTTTACTTTGGGGCCAGCCCGGTGGCGCACTGCTGCAGTGCGCCGCTTGGGAGCGCGGCGGCACTCCCGCCGAGGGTTCGGATCCCACATACAGACCGGTTCCCGCTCACTGGCTGAGCGAGGTGCGGGCGCAACACCGAGGGTTGCGATCCGTTGCAGGACACACACACACAAAAAAAAGAAGTTTTTACTTTGACATAAATCCCATTTGCTTATTTTTTGTTTCTTGTGCTTTTGAGGTCTTACTCATAAAGTCTTTATGCAGTCCTACATCCTGAAGTATTTCCTCTGTTTCCTTTTAGGAGTTTTATAGTTTTGGGTCTTATATTTAAAAGTCTTTAATCCATTTTGAGTTGATTTTGATAATATGGCAAGAGGTGCAGGTCTACTTTCATTCTTCTACATATGGATATCCAGTTTTCCCAGTACCATTTATTGAAGAGGATGTCCTTTCCTCAGTGTATGTTCTTGGTGCCTTTGTCAAACATCAGTTGGCTGTAAGTACCTGGGTTAATTTCTGGGTTCTTTATTCTGTTCCAGTGGTCCATGTGTTTGTTTTATGCCAGTACCACGTTGTTTTGGTTACTACAGCTTTGTAGTATAGGTAGTGTAATACCTCCGGCTTTATTTATTTATTTTGCTCAGGATTGCTTTTGCTATTCGGGGTCTTTTGTTCTGTATGAATGTTAGGATTGTTTTTTCTATTTCTGTGAAGAACATCATTGGTATTTTGATGGGGATTGCATTAAATCTGTAGATTGCTTTGGGTAGTATGGACATTTTAACAATATTTATTCTTTTAATCCACGAACATGGAATGCTTTTCCATCTTTGGTGTCCTTTTTAATTTCTTTCAGGAGTGTTTTGTAGTTCTCATTGTAGATATCTTTCGCCTCTGTGGTTAAATTTATTCCTAAGTATTTTATTCTTTTAGTAGCTATTGTAAATGGGCTTGCTTTCTTCATTTCTTTTTCTGCTAGTTCACTGTTGGTGTATAAAAATGCTACTGATTTTTGTGTATTTATTTTGTATCGTGCAACTTTTTTGAATGTGTTTATCAACTCTAGAAGTTTTTTGGTTGAGTTTTTAGGTTTTTCTATGTATAAGATCATGTCATCTGTGAAAAGGGACAATCAGACTTTGTCTTTTCCTATCTGGATGCCCTTTCTTTCTCTTGCCTGATTGCCCTGGTTAGTACTTCCAATACTGTGTTGAATAGGAGTGGCAAGAGTGGGCATCCTTGTCTTGTTTCTGTTCTTAGAGGAGTTTTCAGTTTTTCCCCATTCAGGATGATGTTGGCAGTTGGTTTGTCATATATGGGTTTTATTGTGTTGAGATACTTTCCTTACACCTATTGTATTGAGAATCCTTATCATGAAGGGATGTTGAATTTTGTCAGATGCTTTCTTTGCATCTGTTGAGATAATTATATCACATTTATTGATTTGCGATGTTAAACCATCCTTGCCTCCCTAGGATGAATCCCACTTGACCATGGCGTATCATCTTTTTGGTGTGCTGTTATATTCTGTTTGCTAATATTTTGTTGAGGATTTTTGCAGCTGTGTTCATCAAGGATATTGGCCTATACTTTTCTTTTTGTGTTATGTCTTTGTCTGATTTTGGTATCAGCATCGTGCTGGCCTCATAGAATGTGTTTGGGAGAATGGCCTCTGTTTCAGTTTTTAGGAAGAGTTTGAAAAGGATTTTTCTTCAGAAGTTTGGTAGAATTCGGTAGTGA